GAGAGGCAAGGAGCGATGCTATCTGCAGGGCGGGAACACGGGGGGGGGGGGTGCCTGGCTCGTCGGACGCCGCCGCGCCCGCCCGCCCCCGGGCTGGCAGCCTCTCAATGGGAACGGCCCCCCCCCTCCCTGTAGAGCCAGCCAGCCAGCCAGCCAGAGGGCGAGGGAGAGTGGAGCGCGGTCGATCGGCGGGTGTCATCACGCGCCGACGCGTGATGTCCGCGCCGGATCAGGCCCCTCCCAGCGGGCGAGGGGCCAGACCCGCATGCTGGGCGATCGGCGCGTGCGATGGTGGCAGGCAACGGCCGAGCCCCCCTCCAACACAAACGTGCTTCACTTGGGGCGATGACCCGGGAGCCGGCCGGGGCCAGAGAGTGGGGGCATCGGTGCGCACACCGGTCCCCGGCGCCCTTGCCCCGCCGCCCCGGGTCGGCGCGTAGAGGCCCGGCGCCGCCGGGCCAGAAAGCCTCCGAAGGGCCGAAAAGAAAACAACACACCGGGCCCCCCATATCGATGGGGCCGCCTGGCCCAGCGCGCACCCGCAAGAACTGCCGACTGTCTGCGCGCGCGCGCATACACCTTGCGGCCGGCCGCGCGAGAGCCGGCAGCCGCGTCAGATGCCGGACCTCGCGTGTGCCCGGCCGCCATACGGCCGCGACCGATTGGTATTTTTCACGCGGCCGGCCCCCCCCCCCCCCCCCCCCCCCCCCCCCCCCCCCCCCCCCCCCCCCCCCCCCCCCCCCCCCCCCCCCTCGCCAGCCACCACCTCAGCCACGCGCAGGTACGCCTCTCGATGGTTGCCGACCGCGCCGGGCGCCTGCGCGGCCAACTCACATCCGGACGGGCAGGGATCTCGGCTCCTGCTGGCGGGCACACGCTGTTCCTCCTCCCCCCCGGTGCCAGGGGCGAGGAACCCTTTCGGGACCCTGCGCGAGGCATCCCGCCGGGCAGGGCCACCCCCCCACCCCCCCTTGCCGCTCCCACAGCGCACGCCCTTTCCTTACGCCTCGGCCCCGTCCCCGCTTTTTCTCTCCCCCCCTCCCTCTCGCTCGGCCCGCCTCTTGTGAACATGTCCCAGGGTGTCGGCAGCTTCCTCCGGTCCTTCTCCTCGGCGCGGCCCGCGGCCAAGGCGTACGACGCCATCATCGTTGGCGGCGGCCACAACGGCCTGGTTGCGGTGCGACTCGGCGCATGGTCGCCCATCCCCCGCATCCCTCCTGGCCGCCCTTCTCCGGGCCGGTCCCGGGGGCCGCTCGCCCCGTTCTGACGCCCCTGCGCCCCGCCCCGTCCCCCCCCCCCCCCCCTCGGCAGGCCGCCTACCTGGCTCGGGCCAAGAAGAAGGTCCTGGTGCTGGAGAAGAACCCGGCCATCGGCGGCGCCGCCTGCAGCGATGACAGCCTCTTTGATGGGTTCACCTTCTCCCGGGCCAGCTACCTGGCCAGCCTCCTGCGGCCGGACATCGTGCGCGATCTCGACCTTCCGGTACGTGCGGCGCCTCCCGGCGCACATGGATCTCTCCCCCTCCACCTGCCTGCCTGCCTGCCTGCCCTCGCTCTTCGCCGGCCCGGCTGGCCGTACTGACCCCGGATGCATGGGCGTGCGGGCCCGCACGCCCGGTGTGCCATCGGCCGGGCACAGGCGCACGGGCTGCGTCTCCTGCCGCGCGACCCGTCCTCCTTCACGCCGACCCTGGACAAGGGCCGGTACCTGCTGATGGGCCAGGATATGGCGGAGAACCGGCGCGCCATTGCCCAGTTCTCGCCGCGCGACGCCGAGCGCTATCCGCAGTACGAGGCCATGCTTGGCCGAAATGGTGCGCCCTCCCTCCCGGGCCCGGCCTCGCCTTTGCTGGACCCCCGGTGCCCGCCTGCCCCGGCCCCGGCCCCGGCCCATCCTGACCTCGCCACGCCCCTGGCGCACAGTGTCCATCCTCAACACCCTGATGGATATGCGCCCCCCGGTGAAGGGGTCCTTCCCCACGCCGATGGAGCTCTTCCAGGCTGGCCGGGACATCGGCCACCTGCTCCAGGCCTCGCCGATCCCCCTGCGCGAGCAGGTCGGCGAGCTGTACGAGCTGCTCATGGCTCCCTCGACCAAGGTGCGCCCCGGCCGGCCGGTGTTGCCCCTGCCCCCCCCCCCCCCCCCCCCGCTCGCTTGGCCCTCCTGTCCGTCTGACGCCCGGCGCTGCCGCCCCCGGTGCCCCCTTCCCACCAGATCCTGGACCAGTACTTCGAGTCGGATGTGCGCTCCCCTCCACCAGCCCCGCCGGCCACCCTGCCCCGTGTGGGTGTGGCTCCGGCACTGACCGCCCCCTGGCCTCCCCCCCCCCCCCCCCCCCCGGGGCGTCTTCTCGGGGGAGTGCCGCCTCTCCCGGCCCCCCCCCCCCCGCCCGCCCCGCGCCCACCCCCCCCCCCCCCCCCCCCCCCCGCACTGTCAGATCCTCAAAACCACCCTCGCCACGGATGCCGTGATCGGCGCCTTCGCCTCGCCCTCGTCCCTCGGCACGGCGTATGTCCTGCTGCACCATGTGATGGGCGGCGGCCTGGCCGGCCTCGGCCTGCGGGCCCCCCCGGAGCAGGACCTGGCCTCGATCATCACCGGGGCCCACCCGGTCCCCGGGCCGACGGGGGCCCCATTCGCCAACATGCCGGCCGACGAGGGGCTCGGGGTCGGGTCCTGGGCGTATGCCGTCGGCGGCATGGGGGCCGTGTCGGCCGCCCTGGCCCGCAGCGCCCTGGCGCACGGGGCGGAGATCTGCTCGGACGTGGTGCGTCGCCCTGCCCCTCGTCGGGCTCCCGCCCCTTCCGGCGCCCTCCCCCGGTGGTGATTTGGCCCGGCCCCGCTGGCTGGGTGGCGCCCTTCCTTCTTCTTTTTTTTTTCCGCCCTTGCTTCCCCCCTCCGCCGGGTGGTGGCATCCCTTGGCCAGACACCCCCCTCCACTGTGCGGCCTGCTGACCGACGCACCGACACGCCGGTGGTACACCGGCGGGCTGCCCCCAGACCGTCGAGCGCATTGTTTCCGAGCGGCCGGACGCGCCCGGCTCCGGCGCCGCCGCCCCGGCGCCCGTGGCCAAGGGTGTGCAGCTGGCCTCCGGCGAGGTCATCACCTCCAAGGTGATCCTGTCGAATGCCACCCCGCGCACGACCATGGAGCACCTGGTCGACCAGGTACGCTGCTCGCCCGGGCCCGGGGGCCCCTCCTTCGCACCAGCAGAGGACGCCCGAGAGGCCCCTTCCGGATCTCACCCCCCTCCCCCCCCCCCGTCCCCCCTATCCTTCCTCCGGCCACCGTCCATGCACTCCTGGCCGCCTCGCCGGCCGTCCGGGGCCACAGGCGCACCTGGATCCGGCCAGCATCCAGGGCTACCGCGCGATCGACTACTCGTCGGCCACGATGAAGATCAACCTGGCGCTGGACCGGCTGCCGGACTTCTCCTGCATCGATAAGGCCGACCGGGCCGGGCCCTACAACTCCCTGGGCGTCAAGTACACCGATCCCAAGGCCCAGCCCTACCATCAGACCACCATCCACATCGGCCACCAGATGGCCGACCTTGAGTCCGGTGCGGCCGCCCAGCCCCCATGGCTTGCCTCGCCGTCCCTTCCATTTGTGCCCCCCCCATTCGCCACCTCTTGCACCTGTTTCTCCCCTCGCTGACGCCGCGCCTGTGCACGTCGCAGCCTTCCAGGACGCCGTGGCCGGGCGCATGTCCCAGCGCCCGCTCATCGAGCTGACCATCCCCTCGGTGCTGGACCCGACGCTCGCGCCGCCGGGCAAGCATGTGGCCAACCTCTTCGTGCAGTATGCCCCGTACAGCGTCCTGGGGCCGGATGGTGTCCGCAGCCCGCGGCACTGGAGCAACGCCGACTTCAAGCGCGCCATTGCCCAGGACGGTGTGTCCATGGGGCCCTGCTTGGTGTTGTTGTTTGTTTTTTTTTTTCCCCTTTTCCTGCTCCTCCTCCTTTTTCGGCCCCTCCCCCAGCCCAGGCACTAATCCCACGATCCGGTCGCGGGGCCGTCCGCCCTCCCCCCCCCCCCTGTACAGTGTACCGCCTGATCGAGGAGTACGCCCCGGGCTTCCGCTCGTCGGTGCTCTTCGAGGATGTCCTCTCGCCGGTGGACCTGGAGCAGCAGTTCGGTCTCACGGGCGGCGTGCGTGCCTGGCCCCTTTTTGTGCTGCCTCCCCCCCTCCTGCCTGTGATTTCGCTCACACCCCTGCGCATGCCCATATGCCTGTGCGGCTCTCCCCGGCACAAAGAACATCTTCCACGGGTCGGTCACGCCCGACCAGCTGTTCCTCACCCGGCCGACGGTCAAGAACCCGGGCCACGCCACCCCGATCGAGCGACTGTTCATTTGCGGGTCCGGCGTCCACCCTGGTGCGTTTGGCCTCAGGGGGCGGGGCGTCCTCGCTTCCTTCACCCCCCCCCCCCCCCCCCTCCGCCCCTCCCTGCATCCATGCGGCAGGGGGGCGCGCCTTTTGCCCCCTCTCCCCCTGCTCGTGCCAGCTCACCTCTCCATCACTCACAATCGACCCAACCGGCCAGGTGGCGGTGTCATGGGCGCCCCGGGCCGCAACACCGCCAAGCTGGTACTCTCCAACGAGAAGAACTTCCAGTGAGGGAGGGCCCGGCGACTGGGCCACGCCCTCCACAGGGGGGAGGGCGCCCTTGCCTCCGCCATCACGAACGCCGGGGAAAGGGAGGGCCCGAGGGGGGCCGGCCCACTCCTGTGTGACGCCCCCCTGCACCCCCCTGCCCGGGAAAGAAATAAAAAACACCCACCCGGTAGTTCCTCTCTCTCTCTCTCTCTTGCGCGCGCGCGCGCACGCACGCACGCACACCCCTCCTTTCTCCAAGGTCGGGCGGCGGCCCTTTCTCGCTTCCAGAAAGAAGGTAATCTATTTGCGGGTGTTTTGGATTTTTTTGTTTCTCACAAGGGCGGGCAGCAGGGGAAAGAGGGGATGAGCGAGGGGGGAGAGAGGGGGAGGGCACCGCGGGAGAAGAAGGCGCGGGAGACAGTGCAAAGGGAGGGGGGAGGGGGCAAGAGACACGCTGCAGCCCACGCACGAACAAGGAAGGTGGAGGGGGGAGAGATCATGCGGCGACCCCACGCGCGGACACTGAGACTGTGTGCCCGCGCGGGGCACACGGGGCAAGGGGGGGGGGGGGGGGGGGGAGGGGGACAGTCGACGGCCTGTCGCCGTCCCCCGCCGTCCCCCTGTCCTCTCTCGGTGGCTCTCGCCCGCCCGCCGGTCGGGGGAAGGAAGGCCCAGGCAGAGGGACATCCGCCCTCCCGGCAGGATGCGCGCGTGCATGGAGACCACCTGCACAAGCCAGGGGGGGGGGGGGGCGGCCCCCGACCGGGAAGAGAGGAGAGAGCGAGAGCGAGGACGAGAGAGCGCACGCGCAAGGGACGGAATGCCCCTTACATCATGCCAGCCATGGGGCCAGGGCCGCCCTTGCCGGCGCCCGGGGCGCGGATGGTCTCGTCAATGGACAGGACCAGGCAGGCAGCCTCGGTGGCGGCGCGCAGGTAGTTGATCTTGACCAGGGACGGCTCCCAGACGAAGCTCTCGAACATGTCGGCGACACCCTCGTTGTTGATGTCCACACCGAACCAGCAGTCCTTCTGGCCGTGGAGCTGGCGCAGCTGGTTCAGGACGTCGGTCGAGTCGAAGCCGGCATTGTCGCACAGCTGGCGGGGGATGATCTCCAGGGCGCGGGCGTAAGCGGCGATCAGGAGCTGCTGCTTGCCGGCGATGGAGCGCGAGTGGTCGCGAAGGAAGCTGGAGGCGCCGGCGGGGGGGGGGGGGGGGG